GTCAGTTTGCATCCAGCAAGCCTTTTCTGCAGTGTTAAAAAAAAATAAAAAATCTTTGTTGTTAAACTGCTTAGTATTTCAGCTGTGCTCTGGACAACACTTGAGAGTTGGAGCAGGTTATTCCTCCTTCTAGTCAGAGAGGTGCCAGTGGAAGGTCTTCAAAACTCCTATTTTTAAAAAACTATGGGAATAGTTGAAGATAACAGCAGAGAAAGTTGTTTGTTCAGACACAGAACTTCTCATATGAACTCAATCCACTTCCATGTAATATCCATGTTAGCTGCTATACTTAGAGCATGTTTCCATTCCAAAAGCTGCTGAAATGGTCACTCTTTTTGTAGCAACTGTAATTCCCCTTAGGCTCAGCTCCAAGTAGTGCCTCTCCTGTGTATCTCTGTATTATCACTGTCAGTCATACTGTTTTAGGTGAAAATGCAGAAGAGATGTGTCACTTCTATCATGCCCTTTAAAAAGGAGTATGTAAGCATTGCTTGATCATTTTGATGAATTTCAATGGTTGCAAAACTCTCCAGACACGTGTCCAGGTACTAGCATTGCTGTCTGTATCTGTCAGTAGAAGCAGTTGACTATGTGGTTGGCTAAGGGCAGCTCTGACTTCTAGAGCCAAGCTCTTTGAAGCTGCCACATGGAAGGGTAACTTCTCCATGGATAAGCCTTGCAAAAAGGGGAATAATTCTAACTGTAGCTTATTTGTTTCAAAACCAGGCTACAAACAACTGAGGCAAGGAGAACAAGCAAAGTAATTAATAGTGTAATTAAATATTTCTATAATCTGATCTTAACATGAGATTGCAACGACATCTCTGACCTGTTTTTCAGAATTTAATTAAATTCTCTGCAGCCTACCATCACTTGTTGTCTCTGTTAAGGGAATCAACATGCAGATGTTTCTCTTCTAACACTTAAAATCCACTGTCCTACTTAGCCAGACTATTACATTGTCAGAAGTCTTGGGTTCCTGCATCATTATGGCAGCATGAAAAATCCATTGCCTAGAGGAAGAAGAACCTGTGCTATACAGGAGCATGGAACAGGAGTGGAAAACAGAAAACCCTTTACAACACATGAGGAGAACAAACTACCCCACCTAACTGGATTTTATTAAAGCCTTCAACATTGTCTCCCACAATATTCTCCTGGAGAAGCTGGTGGCTCATGGCATAGACAAGTGTGATTTATCAATATTTTTATCAATGATTTGGATGAGAGGATCAAGTGCACCCTCAGCAAGTTTGCAGATGACATCAAGTGGAATGGGAGTGTTGAGTGCTTGAGGGTTGAAGGCTCTACAGAAGTCTGGACAGGTTGAATCAACAGGCTGGGGCCAATTGTATAAGACCAAGTACCAGGACTTGCATTTCAGTCACAACAACCCTATGCAACACTACAGGCTTGGGGAAGAGTGGCTGGAAAGCTGCCCAGAGGAAAAGGACCTAGGGATGTTGGTTGACAGGCAGCTGAATATGAGCCAGCAGAGTGCCCAGGTGGCCAAGAAGACCAACAGCATCCTGGCTTGTATGTGGAATAGTGTGGCCAGAAGGAAAAGGGATTGTACTGCTGTACTCAGCACTGGTGAGGCTGCACCTCAAACACTGTGTGAAATTCTGGGCCCCTCACTAGAAGAAGGACATTGAGGTGGTGAAGCAAGTTCAGAGAAGGGCACACAAGCTATTGAAGAGTTGAAGTCCTATGAGAAGGGGCTGAGGAAACTGGGATTGTTTAGTTTGGAGGAGGCTGAGGGGACACCTAATTGCTCTCTACAACTACCTGAAAGGAGATGGTAGGGAGGCAGGTGTTGGCCTCTTAAGCAAACAAGAATAGGACTAGAGGAAATGGCCTGAAGTTACACTAGGGAAGGTTATCTTAGATATTAGGAAGAATTTCTTTACTGAAAGAGTGGTCAGGTACTGGATTGTGCTGCCCAGGGAGGGGGTGGAGTCACCATCCCTGGAGGTATTTAAAAACCATGTAGATGAGGCACTTCAGGACCTGCTCTAGAGGGCTTTTTTTTTTTTTTTAGGGGGAGAGGGGTTGATGTTTGGAGGCTGATCTTAAGAGGTCTTTTCCAACCATGACAATTCTGTGATGCAGGTGAGAGAAGCTGCAGCTGTTTCCCTGTCCTGGTTTGGGCCAGGATGAAGCCACTTTTCTTTCTACTGATGTTTTGGGTTTTTTTCCTTCCCATGGACTCTCTTTTAAGCAGCACACCTGCTGAAAGCAACAGCAAGTTTTCCAGCTTGTGGACTGACAACACTCAAGTGGCTCAAGGCCACTTTGCTTCACTTGTCAGATCTGCTGCTTTGGACACTAAAGGAGCAAGAAGGGTCACATCTGCAACCCTCCCAGAGAGAGCAGCAGACTGGACACATGACTAAAATTGGCCAAACAAGTATTCCATCCCATACACTTCATTCTTGGTATAAACTGAGGGATCACTGAAGTCATGCTCTCTTGTCCACAGACAGTATCCCTTGACCCCTAGGACTATTCATTCCCAACCCTTGTATTTCTACCCTCGGCTCCTGTCTGCTCTGCTACTAGCTCTGAAAACAGTCCAGGACTTTTTCAGGACTACCCTGCAGCTCAGGGGAAGAGAGGTTTTCTACACTCCTGCATATATTTGTATATATTTGTACATATTTTATCACTATTTCATTAAAGCTATCTAGTTTAGTTTTTAATCCAGAAGGCTCTCTGCTTATTTCCTCTCACCTTTTCCTATCTGGGTGGGAGGGGATAGAGAGTAGTATACTAATTCTTTTATTGCCTTACCCCACTGAACACATGGAGCAGCAAAACCATTCTGTTAGGTCTGATTATATATATAGGAAAAGCTTCATCTGTCATTAGTGCACTTAAGGCCATTCAGAAATACAAGCTGTCTTTTGTACATGGCTGTGGGATGTTTCAAAGCATTCACTGTTCAGGGTCAAAACAGAACCAGTAACTGCAGAATGCTCACAGCTACCTCTAATTGCAGTAGTGCAGCTGAAGACAAAGTATGCACACAGCAGTTGGGCTTTTGCAGAGGGAGAGAGTCCCAATCATTCACAGAACACTGATCAGCATATACCAGCCAAAGCTTTATTCCAGCTTCCTCCATTGCTTCATAAACAGCACCAAATACAAGACTTCAACCCAAAATAATTATGTCCCCTTACAGTGAAAAAAAAAAACAAAAAACCTCTTCCCTCCACAAAAAGAAAAGACCTTCAACTTTTCTTAGAGGAAAAAAAACCCAGCACTTAAAAAAGCAACTTTGCAAAAAAGTAACCATCAGCAAGTAATATGGTGCAATACAGTGTCCTATACAGCAATTCACAATAAATCTTTGTTCAAGAACCACCCACCAACAGCTAGATACAAGTTGGGATGCACACACAATCAGTAAGCAATCCCAATTAAGAGGTGAATTCTTATTTAAGAAAGCACAGCTGTAAGAAACCAAGCTGACACTAACAGACTATCTACAAGTACTGTTTCTTGACAGGAAAGTATAGTGACAGGTATTTGCTCAGGTAGGAAGAAGAAACATGCAGTGCTTTGTTTATATTTTTCCCATGAAAGTATTTTACTGGGAATGTCTGTATAACTTGTTCAGCTTCAGGCAGTGACTTTAACACTTGGTTTCAGGCATCTTGGAAGACACGAGGATCTTCACCTAAATCTGTACTGCAGACCACTTGCTCTTCTACAGGAAATAAAAACATATTAGACCCATTAAGATGTTTCTCTAAACATGTATAAATGTGTTAATATCTAAAGTCATAGCTCACAAGGCTTCAGACCAAACATCATCAACATATTGGATCCTATTAACAGACTGCATTTATGCCAAGTTACTGTGTAAGGACAAGACAGTGGAAGCAATGCACTGCCCAAGCAGGAGAAGCAAGCAGTGGTCCCAGATTGCAGCTAGTTCACTCCATCCCTTGGTGGGCTCAGCACAACCTGCTCCAGGAGTTTTAAACCTGTGGATCAGGCACCTTTCTACTCAGCCTTTCCAGGTTAGTGCCCCCTGTGTGCACCAAGATGCAGTTCTGTGCCACTTTGCTGCAAGACCTTAGCTCACACTTTTCTGTGCTGTTGCTGAGAGGGTACATACACTAACACCATGCAAAACATTCAATGACAGACTGAATATTTTAACTAGCTCTTTGAGCAACAGGTAATGAGATCTCTGCTGCAGGCTTCCTTATTTGTTGCCTATAAACCATTCAGCTTTCAGTACAGTTGCACTGAAATACAATTACCAATTCCATCACTGAACACACAATGTTATCTCTACTTCAGCTTATTTAAGTCTCCATCAGGCAACCAATGGTCAAAAACAGGAACAAGTTGCACAGCGAGGTTCTCAAAGAAAGGTCCTAAGCAACTTCATCTAGCTGATCCTACTTTGAAAGGGACCTTTAGAGGTGCTCAACCAAAACTGCTCTACAATTCCATAGATGATAGAAATAACAATCAGAAAGAACCTTCTTTGGTACACAGAGTAGAGGTTCACCAGTAACACTCCAACATTTTTAAGTAACAGTATGTACATGCACTATTCACAAACTATCCTTACAACAACCAACATGGTATTACTATAGGTTTAGGTTCACAGATCAAGATCTATTAAGGGACTGAAGCATTCAAATCCCAAACTACAATGGTTAGTAGAGTCTGCCTAGCAGTCACTCACCTTGCTTCAGAAATGGAAGTAAGAGTAGTGTGCTGGTGACCAGTGCTCAAAACCCGTAACAAAATGTGTAACTTGGGTGCACCACCCCACTTATTCAAGTGGCTCAATGCACACGCTTGAATAAACACTGAATTGGTTTCTAATCAAGACAGTAGCAGCTCTCATTACATGCATTCACCATTCAACTGTCACTGCTTAAGCTAATGCTATTAAGAAAACAGTATTAGAGTAAATACATAAGCTCAGAAAGTGTTTCAACTGGATTTTCTAAAATAAAGCATTTTCTAGAAAATTAGAAAGCATCCAAACACTGAGTACACAATCTCCTTGAGAAGTTCAAGAAAGCCTTACCTTGAAGTAAGGGCTCATCTGGTAAGGACTGCAAGTTCTCTGTTGGAGGGGTTATTGCCTAAACAAAAAGAGGTTCTGTTAGGAAGCTGCCTCTACTGCCAAGATAAGTTTTCACCAAGGTGTTCCCTTGTAGGCTAACGTTTTACATCAGCACTGCTGAAGTCTTATTTACAAGAGTTTTCTGCCCTTGTAACTCACTACAGAAGTCTTCTGCCTACTTTTCCCTTTGATGCCAAAGCTGCATGTGAAGAAAGAACTGGAAATACACTCTTATCATTGCTGGTAGCATGGCTGATGACCCGAGTTCTGGGTTCCAGACATGTTTTTTATTCATTGGTACTTCATGAAGAACACTGGGAGAAACCCCACTAACATTCCCTAATTACTTTGTAATAGAAACATTTTTCATTATTTGCCAGTTAGTTACATGCTCTACTAGCATGAGCTGTCAAAAATCACATGCCAGCACTACAGTTCTTTATTAATAGAAGTCTCCCAGTAACATCTCTTCCCTCAAGCTGTTTTCATTAATCTATTCCCAGACTGAATTTACAGTCCTCAGGCCAAATGTTTGAAGGCTTATATAACTCTATACAAGTATTTTACATAAATTATATCAGTTATGTAATAGATTTATACAAATTTCTATAGTCTCCATAGAAATCTATTAGAGAAGAAAAGACAATGCTTTGTCTTAAGAAAAAATAACCATGCTTCTAGTGGTTGGCACAAATGCACAGATGTAGATTAATGCTACTCTTTCTATTCTCAGGGTGACACAGGAAGAATCACAGCTAAACTCAGGGTGCCCTTTCTAAAAATATCAGCACTGTCCTCCCCAGTCCAATCCCACACCACCATACCTCAGATGATCTGCAAGGCCGGTCAGGAATTCCATTCCACACGTTCTCAGGATCCACAAGCTCCTCATTGCCAGTGGAGAGATTCAAGACCTATACAAGCAGAGCCAACTCTTACCTGGCACAGCAGTGGATCCTGATAATACACTCAGTGAGACAGTAGTAGAAGAACACAATTAAGGATTCCCTGTATTTGAGAAGGCTTTCAGTCTGGATCTTGCAAGGAAGAACAAGTTAACCTCTCCTAAAGTGAACATTGGTACTGAATCTGCTCAATGCCCTCCTGGGCCTCTAACCTAGGTACAGTGAGAGAGCAAGGCTGGAAAACACCTACTAGAACAGAACCAGTAGGAAACTGATGAACAGGGATATCACTACATACCTGGCACTTACCTGAATACAGCTGAGGTTGGCTTTAGATACCTAAGGAATCTACCAGAAAAAGAGCTGGTTTCCATGATCTCTGGCACTCAGTCTTCCAAGAAGTTACCTTTATGACATTATCTTCTGGATTTGCAGCCTTAAATTACAACTTAAAGGCCCTTTTATGTAAATATAATGTCTGTGCATGCACAGACACTCCCCCTGAACTGAAGACTTTAATTTATCCCATAGCTTAAACAGCAGTAGAACAATGCAGCCCACTACATTATAATCTACTGTTAAACCTACCTCCCACCAACCGCTAAATCAACACACTAATTCAGTTTTACTGAAGTAGGAATAATTGTGTATTCATTATTAAAGTATACTTTAAGTTTCTTCTCGTTTCTACTGTTCTAACACTAATTCCTAAACACATCAGCAAAGTAGTGCCAAGTTCCACAAGAATTTAATGGTAACACCACTCCATAGCAGAGCATTAGCTTGCAGACCAGAATGAACCACACATATGAGATACCTATGTAGATACATATGAGTATCAATCTAAAACTGCAGTCAGATCCTTCAGTCTTCACAGTCAATGAAGGGGAATAAGATGTGATGAGAATATCACGTGTTGACACAGAATCGACTCGATTTGAGACACAACTCAAGTTCAAGTCCAGAATCAGCTTTTGCAACATTAAGTCTTAAACTGTCTAATAAAGGTCTAAAATATTCAGAACTTGGAGAATAACCGAAGAAAGACTAGATCTTAAGAATGCAGAAAGAATATTCAAAGCCTACTTACCCTGGTACCTTTTTCAGATATCTCCAAAATGCGAGCCTCACACCACTTCAGAGAGGTCCACACCACACATTTGGAACCAACAGCAAAGCCCTTCAGATAACAAGTATACTCATTTTCTACAAAAATGAAGGCAAAACAGTGAAGGAAGAGAACAAAACAAGAAACCAAAAGATGAAAACAACACCTCCAAATAAACCTCAGATGTCTCACAACCCTGCTCCCATACTCCCCTGCCCCCCTCCAAATAACTTAATATTTCAAAGGTAAAAATCTGACATTGTGAACTGCCTTTAAAATGCATTTCATGGTCATAAAGAGACTTTCAATCATCAAACCATTAACCTCTCAAAGTAAGATTAGCTGCTGTTAGACTGTCACACTATCTGTGAGATACACTTCGTCTAATGTCCTTAACCCATCAAAGCATACTGGATTTATTGCTAGTATAGCAACTTGTTAGGGAATAAAAATTAGGTTTCTACAAGAAAATTATTCTCATGTTTGAATGTGCACAACATTTTGATTGTTTAACTCCTTAAAATCAGACACCTTACCTGCACCACAGTCAGCCAAGTTCTCATTTTGCTGTTCTTCTACTTCATCCCTAGGCTTACAGTCTGAAGACTTCATTTGGGTATTTCCACATCCTTTAAGAGTCAAGTCTTCTTCCACACCACAGTCATCTTTCTTCTGCTGCCACTCCTCCTGTTTCTCAACTTTGCAGTCACGGGACTTCACAGGGCAAACAGTCCTCTGATTTGTCAAGTCTTTTGCAAGAAATGCAAATTGACTTCCACTATTTGCAGAACTTTGTAGTGCAGCACATTCCAACCCTAACAACTCCTCTTCCCCAACTTCCTGAGATGGCTGCACATCAGGCAGCACCCATTCCAGAAGCTGCTCCATTTCATCACCTAGCATTGACAGCATGTCATGAGTCTTTAGGTCCAGCTGTCTCTCAGGTCTACCACCAGATGAAGACAGCCTTAGGTAAGGAGGCTCTGCTTCTATCCAATCTTCTTGTAGAGCTTCTGCTTTATGAATTCCACCCAAATTCAGTTCCAGTTTCTTTGCCTCCTCTCCAAAAGAAAGCTGAGCATCAGATGGCATCAGCTCTACCGTTTTCTCTCCATCGCTAACTGAAGGCACCAAGTCCTCTCTCCCATTAAGTGATGGTAAGATTTCAAGAAATTTCAGAGCTGCCAACTCCCCTGTCCCCCCACTCACCACTGGCAGCTCAAACAACTCCTGTTCCAACACTTTTTCTCTTGCTTCACTGCCCAAAGCTGTCTGTATCTCAAGTGACTCTGCATCCAGAGCTTCCTTTGTTTCCCCACCAAAGGAGGATGGCAATGAAAGTGCCTCTAGCTTCAGTATGAACTCATCAAAGGAAGACTGTGTTTGTAATTGATCCAGTTCTACTAACATCCCTGTTTCATCACTTGAAGACTGTACCTGGTGAACTGGGAATCTCTGCAGTTGTTCTTGGTTGTTACCTTGAAAAAGACTGGCTGCTGAAGCACTGCCTGTCAGTTCTGCTTTCAGCTCAACATCCCCTTGAAACAGTAAATCAGATAATTCCTGTTGTGTAGTTTTCACTTCACTCCCCAAGATATGAAGACTGTAGCTTCTCATTGGTTCTAGTAATACACTGCTACCACTCTCTCCTTCAGAGAGAGGCATCTCTTTATCAAAGGTGCTTTGATGCTCAGCTGTTTCATATCCCTCATCAGCCTTCCCAGACACATACTGAACAGCTCCCACTGACACATCTGCTTCTACAGCATTTAAACACTCAGAAGTTACACCCAGGAAGCATTCAGAATCAACTAAAGCACTTTCACTTTCTTCTTGAGCTAATCCACAAACAACTGTAGTTTCTCTTGCAAGACCAAGACCCACATCATTGCCTGAACATCTGTTTTCCTTGCAGGGGCTCTCAAGGTCTGAGAAAGCATTGTCACCAGTTCCTTTACTAGCCTTCCAAAACCACTTCATCTCTTCATTAATGCTCTTGCCAGAGGCTTCCAGCTTGACAACAGACAGAGGGATTTCAGAAGCTTTATCTTCCTGAGTTTCTATTACTTCAGCTTCTAATAAAAGGTCTTTAGTCATACCATAAAACTTATCTTTTGCTTCACTAAGCCATGAGCCCTCTAAGGATTTGAAACCTGACAGACAGCAAGCAAATGCTTGATTAGGTATTTTAAGCAATTCACATGGAATCTGTCTGACCATCTCCATGCTAACAGCTTCCTCACTTCCATAATCCACATGTCTAACAACTATGTTGTCACCATTTACACTGATTACTTTAGCTCTGTAGAACCTTCCATCTTGACTATATTTTGCTAGACAAATATCACCAGTTTTAATACAAGACCCGGAATAATTCAAAGAGTTTAGTCCAAGGTTTTCAGCTTCCTCTATTTTTTCCTCTATGTAGTTAATTTCATCTGTATCAGCACAGCAACTCCAAAAGTATTCTGGACTGTTTACCACTGTGATGTAAATTTTTACAATTTGACCTGCCTCTGGAAACTTCCATTTAAACAAATTGCATTCACTTACACAGGAAACTTCATTTTGTGCCTGAGGAAGTAAAGACTCACACACAGTGATCACATCACTGCTCTCCCTTTTATCAAGTACTTCTGTTGAACAAGGTCTTGCAAGATTTTCATCAGCTAAATCCACTGTTACTATACCTTCATGGTCACTAAGAATAACCTCCCACTGATCCTCAACCTTCTGTACAAATTCACACGTTAGCAGAATTGCACTTGTTCTCTTGGTGAAGTAAAGCACTGCTTTCTCTGCCCAGTCTGCATTTTTTTTGCATTTAAGTCCACTTAGGAAGCAGTGAATGCTTATGGCTGGAATAGATAACAAATCTTCAGGGAGTCTGTGTGCTTGATCAACATTAATTACTGAAGTGTTACCATAATCAATATACTGTACACTTATCAAATTGTCAGAAGTCTTCTCTTTTACTACAGCTCGATACCACAGGTTGTCTTCAGAATAAACAGCACTGATTAACTCTCCTGCTTGGAAAAGCTGTCCACAAGAGTTCTCTGCTGGTGTCCTATTGTTTAAGCTTTCCGAAATGCTGTTAAGCTGAGCCTCATCACTTCCCAGTTGAACATAAAAATCCAATGGATCATTTACATGAGACACATAGACCAACACTTTAAGACCTGGCACCATCTTCTGCTGCAGTAGATCAGTTACATTTTTAAGCATGATACACATGCCTTCCACATCAGATTTATTATCTGACTGTGTATCCACCTGGATGGAGAGCAGAGGTGCCTCCTCTGCTTCATTTAACAAAAAAGCATCTTTCTTACTGCTAAGCATTCCAGATTCTTGTAATCCAGCTGCCAGATCTCCCTTCGTAGCAGCCTGGAAAAGGTTTTTATCCTCTTTGAAATGCCTTTTGCTATTTTCTCCTCCTCCTCGGGCTTCAGATAAGCCTTTTTTTCTTCCAAGAGGCCTACCTGTATTTAAAGGAAACTCTTCAATCTCATTCACATCTGTATTTCTAGAGTCTGAAGTTTTGTTTTCTACATGCCTACATAGTCCTGTATTGTTTCTTAATCTGAACTTCTCCTTCAGTTTTGCATTATATTGAGTATTACCATCAAACAACTCAATCAACAGTTTACCATCAGATTCCTTTGCTACCACTATTGCTTTTAATTGCCTTTCTAGGACAGCTTGCTTGAACCATGCTGTAGCTTCTTCAGGAACCTTTGACACATCAGATAAGGAACACTTTATGGCCTGCATTGGCAAAAGCAAGATATCCCATGCATCAGTGGGTAAAGGAAGCAGATGATCTTTCTCTATTGTCTCTGTGTTCCCAAAATCCACAAAGAAGACTTCTGTATTGGGTTTTGTTTTTGTAATTAGTCCCCTGTACCAATGATTGTCAGTATATTTTGCTAGACACAAGCTCCCAGGCTTTTGCAAGGTTTCTATGCTGGTCATTTTTTCACTTAGGCAACAGATGTTATCAGTAAGCTGTGCCAAGATATCTGCACATCTTTCAAGTTGGCAATAAAATGTCCACGGGTCCTCAACATGTGTAATATAAATGTCTTCCTCATTCCCAGTTTTGATGCCATGCATAGAATAATAGTAAGAACAAAGCTGAACTGAGGATACCAGAGGCTTCTGAGGAGATGAAGGTCTGGCCACACCTCTGTCAGTCAGAAATTGGCAAGCACTTTGAAAAGGTGTCATTAAGTCTACAATGTTAAATAGCTCCTTATCGTTTATCGAAGCCAAGGCAAATATTGTACACTTCAGTTCAAAGAGGGATGAATTATCAATGAAATCCTGAAAAGCCTCAATCGCTTCTTCATCCCAAGCAAAAGGATCCTGACCATTTGATTGGATTAAGTTGTAAAGGCTGCACCTGAAAGCCTGAGGCTCTAACCTAAGAAAGCATTCATCAGCTGAGCGGAGGTTTGCCAGAGACACCCGCTCTCTGTTGCCATAGTCAACATACAAGACTTCTACTTCTCCTGCAGAAGAAACTTCACTAATAATTAAAGCCCTGTACCACTTTCTATCCTCAGAGTACTGGGCTAAACATACAGAATTTGGCCAAGCAGGTGGGCAGGATGAATTTTTACAGTACTTCTGAATTTCAGCCATTAATACCCTAAGATCATTGCAATTTCTACTTAACTGACACCAGAAATAACTAGGGCTTTCAACATATGACACAACAACATTAACTGTACTTCCCACATCTAATTTGACCCCATAAAAGGAACTTGGCTTCATTTCCACATAATTCTGTCTCCAAGAGATGGGCAGGTTTTCATTGCCCTCACACTTCTGGGCAGGAAAAGATTCACTACTGTTAGAATTGTGAATGGCTGCAGAAGGGCTCTCTCTGACCATCACAGCTGGGTAAGGATTAAGTGCTCTTTCACTTGTCTCTAGACCAGATTCTTTTCTGAGCCTCTTCTCCATATTCAGTTGGTTTTCCTCCTCAGCACATGCTAAGGAAGAGGCCTGGTTCACAGCCTTATCAGGTGATTTCTGGAGAGTCTCGGGCATTTCACACCTCTCATATTCAGCATAACCTCCCTGGGCTATGAGCTTACTTACACTTTTCTCTCCTAATGGGGACTGGTCAAAAATCTCAACCATGTATTTGTCATCCCGAGCACTGAAAAAACGAACCTTTAGTCCCTTGTTCAGCACAATCTCTCTGAAGGCAGACACAGAGGGTTCACTCCAACTCCCTCTCAGAGGAGAGACACCTGCCAAGCAACACTTTAGAGCTAAGGCAGGTAGTTCCATGAACCGAGGAAGCAGCTCCTTTACCGCACTCCAGTCTACAGTTTCTGTGGTGCCTCTGTCCACCAGGTGTATTTCTACCCCACTGTCCAATACTCTGGTGATCATGGCTCGATAGAAGACACCCTCTTTCCCACTGGCACAACAAAGGGATCCAGGCTGTAGGTCCCACCCAGTACCACCTAGCTTTGTAGTATGGGAGTAAAAATTCCACATGCTCTGCCTTAGCTGCTTGAAGAGCCGGCGATGTTCGTGGAGCTGCAGCCAGAACTCAGATGGGTCTTGGATGTGGGAGACCCGTGCGTCGTGGAACACACCAAACTTCAGATGTGCACTACCTACAGGAGCAGAGACTAAATCTTTGCAAGCTAAAGTGACAGGCATTCCT